ATATATTTTCTGAGATACATAACGATACCGATCACAGCATATTGTACACGTTGGTCAGCTACTTGCATTCGACTTCAATTGATTCTTTCAATATTCAACATTATCATCAGTCATTTCATTTAGCAGATAAGTATAATGTTTGTTCATTTATCTTTCTAAGACTCACTTGTATAATTTATTATTTGTTTATATCATCGCCTTAGTGGCATTAGTATTTTTACTCTATTTGTGTGTGCTACTACTAGGCTATAATATTCAAAATTTTTTGGTAACATGTTGCTATAGAAATGATTTCTAAAAAAATGATTGTTAATTTCTCCTGAATTAACAATGAATTTTTACAATTATAATCAAATTTTATAATACGTTATTGAGTAGATCTTTTTAACCACTTTTTTAGCTTGGATGTGAATCTGAGAAGATATTATTTTACTATGATGTATTGTTTTTTTATTGGTTATTTTAGTTAAAGTAAATCATTAAAATTAATTCAGTTCATATTTCAATTGTAGAATTTCCAATTCAATTTCTAATTTCCATTAGATATTTCTGTACAATTTCCTGAACAATTTCGGACATTATGTCGTCAATCTGATCTATTAAATACAATTCTGGTAAAATTATGGATACTTTAAAACAAATAATAATAAGTTATGTAGTCGGCGTACACTGTCTAATTTTTTTAACTAAGTCATTATACATTTTTAAAGAATAATAATTTAAAATATAAATAACTACTTCGAATGATGATTTCTAAATTTGGGTCACTTAAAATTTCACGTTTTATTGACTCCTTTAAGTAGGTTATTTCGTCAGCCATAGTTTCTTTTCCATTCTCGCGTTTTACTGGTACGCTACCATTTTTGAAAAAATATTGTCTTGAACGGATAAGTTCTGACGTTAAGTCTTGAATCTTATATTCTATAAAATGAGATATAGTAATAAACTACGGACTTGTTAAATGTGGTTCTGTAATTATATTTGCGAATAACTTTTTGTTGTTGACAATCAAGCTTTTTAGATAGGGTGAGAATTGTATAAGTAAATTAAACAAAGTAATATGCATATATTTTTTTTTTAAGTATAATTTTAAATTACGGTTTTACTTTAAAATCTTGAATCTCATCTGTGATGAAATATTATTTATAAAAAAAAATAAAAAAAAAAATAAAAAAAAAAATAAACACATCATGGTAAAATTAATACCTTCTCAGCTTCGCATCGAAGCTAAAAGATGTCGTTAAATAGAAAATGGTGCGAATATAATACTATTTTACAATATATTACATAATGCTTCATAATGTTTGTGTATTTCTATGGCTTCATAATGTTTTTGATTTTTTATGGCTTCTTAAATTTAAGCATTTCTATGGCTTCATAATGTTTTTGTATTTCTATGGCTTCTTAAATTTGAGCATTTCTACGGCTTCTTAATTTGAGCATTTCTACGGCTTCTTAATTTGAGCATTTCTACGACTTCTTAATTTGAGCAATTCTATGGCTTCTTAAATTTGAGCATTTCTACGGCTTCTTAATTTGAGCATTTCTACGGCTTCTTAATTTGAGCATTTCTACGACTTCTTAATTTGAGCAATTCTATGGCTTCTTAAATTTGAGCATTTCTACGGCTTCTTAATTTGAGCATTTCTACGGCTTCTTAATTTGAGCATTTCTACGACTTCTTAATTTGAGCAATTCTATGGCTTCTTAAATTTGAGCATTTCTACGGCTTCTTAATTTGAGCATTTCTACGGCTTCTTAATTTGAGCATTTCTACGACTTCTTAATTTGAGCAATTCTATNAACATTTCTATGGCTTCATAATGTTTTTGTATTATACAGAATGATCCATAAGTAAGAAAAAAAGTAAATTTCAATGAATAATGAGAATACAAATTTAATTCCTTACTTTTATCAATTAAGACTAAGGCTAGACATATAGTTAAATAAAGAAGACACAAAAAAGGTAGTTAAAAACATCCCTTTGTAAATTAATTAAGAGTAATACAAAAAAAATTTGCGATTTCTAATGCCGCTGATTATAACTAATATAACAAATAGAACCACAAGGAATTAAAATGAAGACATTAACTTTACTTTTAAAATATTTAACTATAAAATTAAAAATTATACGAAATATATAATACTCTTTTAAATGAATTAATTCATAATTATAATTATTTTATTATAAAATAATATACATTTTTTATTTATGAATTTTCTTTATGTCAGTATGTTTCAACTGAAAATATTTTATTAGTACAGTTCTAGATAAAATGCATGTAGTTTAAGATCAATTAGTTTAATAATCATACTACTTCATTGTGGAATTCATGTTTAAACAAAATTAAAATTAATAAATAAATATTTGTTTTATTTTTATAACTATAATTTAATACTATAAATAATTAATGAATAAAGTACAATTACTTTATTGAAACATTTTATAATGTCTATATAAGACTAATCATTTTTTTTACGTATGTACCACATTATGTATTTTGCAACAAAATACCTTGAAGTTGCGAATATAATTATGCAAATATTAAACCTATCCCTTGGTTTTTGTAGTTTAAATTGGATGGTTTAATTTAATACATTATTCACCTTGTTATTGTCAAAGTAAGTCGAACGACCGCTGTTTTGAAAGGGGTCCTGAGTTTTGTAGAAATTATTTAAGTTTCTGTAAGTATATGTGCATAAAACGTTTTTTCTTGTTATGCAAAAAAGAAATAATATGATCCTATAATTTTTCATTCGGTCATCGCTTCCATAAATCATTTTAACGTCGCTTACGGCGGTAAAAAGCTAGGGCCAGTTTCTATTACCCAAGATAAAAACTTTCCGTAAAATACATTTCACCATAGAAAATATGATAATATTCACTGAAATGTAAGAGAGATTTGTAAATTCTGAACAGACTTTGTATAATATTGCATCATGTTTAGAACACAAAACCAAATGAGGGCTGTTGACCCAACACAGCAAGAGATTGCTCTTTTTCTTATCCCCTCTTTATCCAACAATTTTTAAGGTATATAACGAGGTCGATTCTTTCAAGAAACTTGGCTTGTTTGTGCAACTGTTCGTTTTTATTTAATAATATAATCATATTAGAAATATGCCGTTATATTCTCGATGATACACACAAATTAAAATGGGTTCAAGAAAATCAATCAAAGGCCCAATTTATTTTTTCAGGTATATTATTTAGATTCAAAATATTGATATAATATTCAAAATTGAGCATGAAATAGTAAAATTATACCATGTTCAAAATCTGAAGTTAATAAACTCAAAAAAATATGTGGTAATAACAAAAAATTATACGAGTAACTTTTATTCGTAAGTAACATTTTTAACAGTCCAACCCTCCTCTCCATTGTTAATAATTTAAATTTAATCGCAATGAATTGAAATAACTAGGTATTTAACTATTGTTAGTTTACGTAGATAATTAATTTAAATAATATATAAATCAGAATCTAGATTAAATTATAAAAGTTCCGATAGGATAATCATCATCAGTAAACGATCACTATTACAAATTTTTAAAGTTTTTAGCTAAAAAATTGTGTAATCTAATCATAAAATGTTGTTGCTAGGTAATTTTTAAACAAAGAAAATACTAAATTAAGTCTTATTCCAAAAACACAAATTATAATACAAAATTCTTAACTGTACATTAACAGAAAAATTACAATTTTCGACATTGGATGATGAATTTAATTTTTGTGTTGGTTAATTATAAACATTTTTACATAAATAGTATAGACAATTTTTCGGAGAACAAGTCATTATTTATGATTGTAACACCAAAATCTAAATTGATAAAGAACTTTAAAATATGAAAAACGTATAACTGTAACTGTTCATTTAATGATGAAGTCATTCTACGACTAATGTTAGACAATTATGCATATTGATTTTTGAAGTTTTTATCTTATGTTTTTACAGTTATTTATTAAAGTAACGATATACTTATGAATAAAAATATTATGATTTATTAATAAATAAAAAAAAGTATAGAACATGATTTGATGAAAACTAAATCTTTAAGCAAATTTAGTGAAATTATAAAATATATATTCAGTATTTTAAATGTATCTCAGAAACATTTTAATGTGAAATTATAGACGATCTTTCTTACTAAACAATAATCGAGCAATAAGCACATTGTTGGGTACCGGTTTTTAGTCCGCAGGCAATCGGGTCGCGCCGATTCATCAAAAGTTGACGATCTGCATTCCCAGCAACCATTACATATAGTAACATGTGTATTTTACCATTTTAGATTTTACCGCTATGGTGTCTCGTATAATAATATTGTTCTATCGTCGATCGACCTTCATAAGTAAATCTAGTAATTAAACAAGTCTGAAAATTTAGTGTAGTGCGGACAGTGACCGATGTTATGTCCGCATTTTACCTACTTTTTTTATTCACTATTTATCCGATATTTAGCAAACTATAATTTAATTTTACAGTAGTTAATTTAGCTAGAATATGATAATTTCATACATTTGTACAAAATGTTGGAAAATGTCCAAGAACACCGACTCAGGTGAAAATGTTAGCAGATAAAATCATTAAATGAACTAAAGACGTCACAAGGTAAAAATGGAAAAATCCTCAGATTTCTATTTAGATAAATACTTAATATTACCAAAAAAATACACAACAAAACTGTTAATTGGACCAAATAATTGAACTATTACATAAGATAACAATGATTTATAAAATAAAGATCATTATTAAACACATTTACAATCAATAATAAAACCTTATTCGTCAAATTAATTATTTTATTTATTCATAATTAGGTCTTCAAGTTTTGTCCTCCAACTAACTGACTATAAGTGTCTCATTGCAATATCTATCAAAAGAAACCATACAATGATCATGTGGTTAAAGTCTTCCGGCCAAACACATATTATAAATTATGTGTCAAGGGTGTTGAATGCATCTTAACTGAGAAATAGATGCGTTTTCAATTATCTGTTAACAACATATTATAAACAATATTTCTAAATCATTCAAAATGACATTTTAAAACAGTTTGAAGGTTACTAAATAAAGAAAAAGATAGCTTTATCTTTGTTAAATTTTTACAAAATTTATTGGATCAAAAACAAAGGATAATACAGACAAGTACTTCTAAGCTACCTATAATTTTTTTTAATATAATATTATTTAAAATGAAATCAAAACTAAACTAATCAGTTTTAAAATAAATTTTATGAACAAATTAATGGCACAGCAATGAGAAATCTACTTTCATCATTTTTAGCAGAACTTTTCATGAGTACGTTCGAAACAAATTAAAAATATACTTATAGCGGTTTTACGAAAATTTGGATTGGGTATGTAGATAGAGTAATAGTTTAAGAAATTTATTAAGTAACCCTAAAGATAAAGTAAAAGAAGAGGGGAAATCGGACATTTGTAAAATATAACATGAAAGTTGTAATAAATGTTATGTAGGAAAAACAAAAAGAAACATAGTGGTCTGATTTAAAGAACACTTAAGAAGTTGGTAAATCTCCTCCAATGAAACATTTATTGCCATAGAATCACTTCGTTGAAGTCATAAAGCTAATTAAAAACGTAAATAACTACAAAGAACTTAATAAACGGGAGGCAATGAAACTTAAAAAAATAAGAAAAATTTAATTAATTGGAATTGTTTAAAAATTTATTAATAAACTTGTGTTATGTCTGAGTTAAATACATTTTTTATTTTTTATTTTAAATAATATTAGTCACAAGTGATCAATTTTTACTATAAATTAAATATTGATTTAATTTATATGGTTTCGTTATTTACAACTAGTTTAATATAAATTTAATTCAAATACTTTAATACTATGATTTTCTACTTAAAAATCAACAAATATTCTAAAAAAAAAGTCTATTATTTTAGTTTTTTCTTTTTGAAATAAACAGAAAATTTAAACATTAACTAATAAACGAGGTCTCAAAGAAAGCTAAATGTTAATTTTTTTAAAAAGCCGTTTTGATTTTATCTTCTTGTGTCACCAATTGTGTCCAGGAATGCGATATAAAAAATTATTCGGTTTTCTCTAAAGGCATATTCACAACTACGATATGTTTATTTACACATTATACAAAATCTGACAATGCACAAGAAGTAAACGCGAATTGCTATATGTTACAAGTAAACACACATGTTCTTAAATATATATATATATATATATATTATAAGATATCACTTAAGGCGAATTGTAGTAAGATCAGACTGGCTTCTGGTGGTAATGAATATTGTTAAAAGCCGCGCGGTCATCGGGGTCGATCGTGACACGCATCGGCCACGGGATCATCGACCCATAGAGAAGTCTGTTAGTGTAGCAAACGGACCAAGTGCTGCAAGGTTTATGCTATTTTTCCATTGCATTCGTATTATTTTTTATTAGACCTATAGAGATTTTTTTTATAATCAGGTGTATACGTGAAAACCGGCTCGATGCAGGTGCATTTGCCGCCTCCACCTAACATGGCACACAACAGACGTCCACGAGATACACGTACTACATGTATTATATACATTCCATTTTATAGAAATGTAATATTAAGTATAAGTATATTATCCTAAATATTTTATCTAAATACGTACCAATGACTCTCGTGTTTAACTTATCCAAGATAAAGATTTAATAAAAAATTCACTAATTTCCAAAATTAAAAAAATAAAGGTTTCATATTATTTTACATTAATATAGTAACTTTAAACAGATTTCTTTCAAGTAGATAAAATAATATTTCATTAAAAAACTTGTATATAGAGTGTTCAGCAATAAGGAAACGAGTTTCTATTGTTATCATTGTTTATAACAAGGAATTGTTTGTAACAATTGACCTGTTTCCTTATTTACTGAACATCCTGTATATTAAAAAAAAAAATGGTTACAGCGAAGTGAGAATATAATTAATACTTAGCATTTTAAACATCAAAAATAAAAAAAACATTCGATTATACTAGAGACAGAGCAGTGCAAGATTAATTTGTTCAAATCTTCATGCTAACGAACGACCAGATTATGATATAATATTTAATGTAATAAGGAAGTGACTACCGCAAATACATAGATAAAAAAATCTTTAAACGTTCAATGATTTTTATAAATATATGTATAATTATATAAATTACTGACTAAGATAAAAATATCTCGATGGACTGTACATACAATTTAAAACCCGAAGTGGTAAATTTTAAATGTCAATAATTTATTCGCTAGAATGAAGGATTAGTTAGCCGTTATTATAAATCATAAAATTATTTATGAAAAAATTAAGGTCAAGTAATAACGAAGGTAAAGGTTGAAATAAATTAATATACTTTTCTTTTTGTTCAATAAACTATTTATCTTTGAAGCAAAAATATGTAATTTTATAAGAAGCTAACTTTTTAGTTATTTTATGTTTACAAGTAATTGTGAATTATTGTAACCAAAATATTTAAAACCAACTCAACTTAAATAAAAAACAATTTTTTAGATAATCACCTTAAAACTACAGTTAAAATAAAACGTTGATAATATATACTTAATTTTCTCATATTCAGGTCATATTGAATAACTCACTGTCAAAGACCGAAGAACATAAGTAATGTGATACTTATAAAAACAATATAATATTGAAATATCATATTTTATGTAAACTAAGATAAAATTCATTACTTTCATAGTTAATTTACCTCTCAGAGTTATTCAAACGGAAACGAGTATTTCTTTATGCTTTTAATACAAGATTGTATTTTAAATATATAAGAGAAATAACATTTTATGGGTTCATTTTTGTGAGAAATTAAATATAGTTTTAAAAATATTATATCAGGTACAATTGCTATAGTTTAGTATTTTAATCAATTATCTATGGAAGTTTACTGAATGAGATTTAACAATCAAAGTAATAAGCTAAATTGATACCTAGATAAAAACTGGTATAAAATATATATTTAGGTAGTATATTAACTATACTTTAATTTCGTTAAAAAATACTTACTGTATATAATATATAATTATCCTACCCAATATTTATTATATTGTAACTTTTGATATTATTATTAGCTAACATTATTTAATATTAAACTTATATTCTACAAACATAAAATGAAATTATATACTACAAATTATTTAACCAATAAAACCAGCCAAACAATATCATTACTTTATGGATCTATTAACGATCTTGTTTACAAGTTTATTTAATATTTAATGAATATTAACTAAGCAGCAAATGAACAATGAAAAGTCACTTATATTACATTAAAACTTTGCATATTACGAATACACATGAAAAATCACACACACAAATATAAATACATGAAAATATAAGTAAATAAATAATACATTTTAATAAAAAATGAATTTTTATTTACTTTTAATATCCGAAACATTAGTATATTATACATTACATATCAATACTTCTTTTGGTAGTATTTGCATATTTTTGTGACAAACAGTTTTTAACATATTTAAGGTCTTATTTAGGTGACTGCATTTTCCTAAGTTTTTCCTATTTATTAAAAATACAGTTATATTTTTAAGAGGTTCATAAAATTATTGATTACACTCTGATGATATAGCTAAAACACACCTTTAATTTTTGAAGGTAGAATTCAAACCTTATAAAAATTGGTTACATCTAAAATTATTAGACACCCTTTAGACTTGTAAATATATATAAGTATAAGTGAACGCACACGATACCTGTAGTTTAATCTATGAAAATACACGATTTTACCATTAAATTTATAACAAATTTATTAATTCTACATTAACAAATACCAAACGTTTAAAAAAATACATTGAGTGATTCTTCATCTATTAAACATGATTAAATACTTTTAGTCCTTATTGATTTATAGATTATTTTTTTAAGTGTATTATTTTATGTTACATGCTATGTTCCAAAGAATGTTAAACCACAGCGATAATAAAGAAATATGTTATGTCTCAATAAGAAGTTTACATTTCATTTCATCAATTTTTAGTTATTATCTAAAATTTTAATGATATATTTAAAATAAAATTTAATTAATAACATTTTACAACATCAGAGTTTACCACAGACGAGAATATGAGTCAATCACACTAACGGTATAAAATGTTATATGTTTAAGATATATTTTTATTTCAAAATGAGGGGTGAACATTTTCTTATGTATAAATCCTGTCTCCGTAAATAAATCTAGTGTGTGCATTTATAAAAAAAAGTTTTTACGTTTTAAACACTAAAAATTTTAAAATTTACAATTTTTATATGGAACATTTAAAACGTTTCAAATAGTTAAAAAAAAAAATGTTTTTTCTATTCTAGTAAAAACATACAACATAGTTCTTATAAGTTATTTACATAAAAAATAATTTCTATAATGTAATTTTTATTCCATATCTATAAACATTTTTTGAAAAAAAAGAACCCCCGTAAATTATTTAAAAAAAGTAAGAATTCTAAATTTTGATATAAATAAATTTCCATTCTATTTATTGAAAAATAACAGAAATATATATATAAACTTCTTTATATTGTATTTATTTAAATTATTACATGTTAATTTTAAAAGGTTTACTTTAATAAAGGGTCCAAAGACGGGTTGAAAGTTTATTTAATTTTATATTGAAAATGCATGGCTAAAAAAGTTTTATTTATTTATTTTTCAATATTATTTTTAGACCAGTATAATATTTGGAAATATGTAGTCGAGTACATTGAACTAACAAAACATGATGACAGATGCATAGACATAGAATAGGTAATATCATCATAAAAAATATAAAAACTTAAAAGCAGTACGTTGTTCAAGTCGATATACAATACGAATTCACTCCAGGCGACTGTGAATGAATATTAGAAACAATTGGCCCGGATAAATAATAGTAATATTACAATAATTAATCACCGAAATACGTCAAACCTATTGTATGGTAATATTCATGGGGACTGTCGACGATTTGAGATCGCAATAATAATGTACATCAGCTGTCACCTTTAAGGATTTGCGTTGTACACACAGGAAGAACCAACAACGGTCAGGGGTCTTAATTTAAGCAAGTAAAAAAACAATTATAAAA